TTCTAATCTACCTAGGAAACATATTAAAGCAATAAAATATTAACTTCCTAAAAATTCTAGATACTATTGTGCAAGAAGGAAACTAAATATATCAAAGTCCTAAATTGACTACATCTTGATCTTGCTTGGCTTGCACTCCAAACAATTCCAAACACATGCCCCAAGTATTTCGGCCGCCTCATACGCGCTCCGCCTTCGCACGCCTATTCCTCGGTGGGTTCGGTCCCCGCGCGCGCGCTACACGCGTGCCCTTCCGCGCGCGCCCTGCTCGCCGCCTTCCTTTTGCGGTGCGCGCCCCGCAGGCCTACGCCTCCACGGTGTAGGACTCCCGCGCCTGCGTCCCATCCGCGCGCTTTCTTGCGCGCCCAGCTCCAACCGATCCTCTCGCGCGCGTGCCGTAGCGCGCCTGCCAATCCTTCCCCTATGCGGCCTCGGCTTCTACCCGCGTGACCGTCACCCGCGCGCCCAGCTCGCCCGCTGCTCGCTGCCCGCGCGTTCCTCCCATCGCCCGCGACCCGATCGCCTATCGTGCACCCCCGTATACCCGTCGCTGCCCGCGTGCCGGCCACCCGCCCTCGCGCATCACCGCCCGATGCGCTCCTCTCGCCCGTTCGACCGTCGGTCACCCCCGACCACTCTTCGGCCTCGACAACCACTTCCATATCATTCCCCTCCTCTTCATGACATTCCTTGTCCTCAAGGATGAGAAAGTTTAGCACGTCCACATCACTATCTTCTTCTTCAACGGTAAATTCACCTTGATCCTCAGTCCTCAACTTAATGCGTTTTCCTGGTCATCCAAACTCCATCCTTCCTCGCTTGTAGTCAGTCGTGATGGGTCCAAGCGTTTCCAGCCACTGTACTCCTAGCACAATATCTGTTGCCTTAAGTGGTAAGGCATAAAGATCAATCTCCAGCTCGTGATCCTGTGCCATTATCGGGACCTTTTGAATAATTGACTCCCTTGTAGCTCGTGTCCGTTGGCCACCTTGACACCAAACTTCTTGACTTTTGTGGGTTCTAGCTTCAGCTTTTGGGCTATCCTTTCGTCGATGAAATATAAACTCGACCCACTGTCCACCAGGACCTCCAACAACATATCCTTTACCTCGGCCGTGAATTTGATCATCTTAGGACCACGCTTGTTGCACTTCACCATATGCAACCAAGACTCTTCCTGCGGCTTTTCTTCCTCTCGTCCCTCCTCAGTTTCCAACACAAAAATTTCCTTACCCTTGCACTTGTGGCCTGGCACAAATTTTTCGTTGCAAGTAAAGCACAAGCCTTTCTCCCTCCGCCTTTGTATCTCATCCTCCGTCAGCCGTCGGTAGTTGCTAGTGGTGCGAGTTTCATTGCCGACCATTGGCTTGACATCGGCCCGTGGGGGCGTATCGTCGACCGCGACGCTCGCGCGCCGAACATCCGTGCGTCCCTCGCTCGGTCGGGCCTTGCGCACTGCCGCGAGATGATCCTCGTGCAGTTGCGCTGCTTCCATGGCAGCCCTTGTCGACCGTGGCCGGTCCAACCGTACTTCCGCAGCCAACTCAGCCTTTAAGCCTCCTACAAACGCACCTACTAGTGCCTTTTCGGGCCAATCCCGAACTCGGCTTGCTATCCTCTCAAACTCCTTTTGGTAACCGCGTAGACTACCGGTTTGGCGGATCCTTGTTAGCGCCTCATCATAATCAAAGTATTCGCTCGATCCAAACCTGGCAATCAGCTCCTTCTCAAAATCGCGCCATCTGATTTGCTTGCCTTTATTTTTATAAACATGTGACACCCATTGCCACCATGTGTTGGCCTCACCATCCAAGTAGTAGGCAGCAATTTGAACTCTTTCAGACTTGTGTACCTCATTGATCTCGAAGAATTGCACGACACGACTTAACCATGCATCCGGATCTACTCCTTCGAACGTTGGCATCGTTATCTTCGGTTTCGCACTTGCGTGCTCGTTGCGGTGATACCGATGGCCATGCGTCCTGCGATCGCCGTGGTGTCGGGTAGTGTGCATTGCGCGCGTTTCCCGTGACCGTTCGTCGTCGTCATCGCGACTAGACGTCGAACTGCCCGTTCCCGCCATGATTGATCTCGATGTGCGGCTCCTCCACGTATGGTGGTTGACTCTCTCGAGCTGTCCCGCCAAGTCGTGTATCATCAGCCCCAACTTTGCCATGTTTTCATTGACCACGTGTTTTCCGTTGCCAAGGGACCTCACGCTTTCCTCAAGTGCATCGAATCTCTCACGATTCGTCATGACTCTCTTCTTTTTTTTTTAAGACTCTAAAAAAAATCGAAAAAAGAAGAAGAATTCGAACAAATTCGAATCTAGGGGAGGAAAAAATAACAAAAGACTAGATGACACTTTTTTTTTTTTTACTCACGAAATTTTTTTCGAAAATTTGGACAAAAATTCGAAAAAATTTGAACACAAAGACTCAAAAAAAAATCGAACAAAAGAAAAAGAATGGGATAGGAAAAGTTCACGAACACCCAATCGATCACTCTCAATGAAAGCACCAATGATGGAGGATCGGGTGTTGCGTTCCCTCGACTTGTCTCGATCACGGCTTCGCCACGGCCTTGCT